AAACAGCTGAGGGACATCAGTATATTTTCATGTTGGATGAGTAACGGTGGCTGGTTCTTCAGATGAGCTACTGAGCTAATAGCGCTAATCAGCTTCACACTGGATGCTGATGATCAATCGATGATGTGCCAACATAGTATTTGTCACGAAATATATTTTCATTATTTCTGGACTTACCTGATATCAACTAGAGTAGCTAGTAGTACCTTGTTAGCATTACAGCCGCACCACAGCTGCCGTCTCATCCACATCCTTAACGTGCCCTGGGCAATGCACTCACATTTAGTCACTCATGTTTTAGAAAAGTATACTATACTAGACAGATATTTTTTTTTTTATTTTGTCTCAATTTGTTGATTTTCCAACTTTTCTCACTGTCACAGCCCTAGTTATTCATTATGTAACTCCCTATGTAATTAGATATGTAATTATGAAAATACATTAGATTAGTCCAGGAGTCGGCAACATGCAGCTCTGGAGCCACATGCAGCTCTTTTACTCTTTTAGCTCTTTTTCCACAGCAGAATTAGACTTGTAGGTAAAAATAAAATAATCCTCCTTTACAGGAAAATAAGTTAATGCTGAAGGTTGGCGCGCAGACTGCTGGTCACCATAGCAACACAGACAACAATATTGCCTAGCTAGTAGTTAATGAAAAGGCAAAGAGAAAGATAATTTGGAGACAAATGGACTTACTTGCATGTATAATCACTCCAGCTGGTTTCCTGATTCGTTTAATCTGCAACGAGAAACTGACAAACACTAAAAAGTCTGAAGTCAGCTTCTCGTTTGCCAGCTTCTTGTTGGAATTTTCCCATTCCACCTTAAATGGTGCAGCAGTTACATTGTAGTGCCTCCGACAACATTTAAGGTGGAACGGGAAAATGTGAACAAGAAGCTGGCGAATGAGAAGCGACTTCAGCCATTTTAAAGGAAACTATTCTACTTTTGAGGAAAAGTTTCCTGCCGGAGATGCGAGAAAAGCGTCTATAGCTGAGATAAAGCTAAAAGCAGAGCAAAGTAAGTCTGTGTTTTTGTTTATATTATATTTTTTAGTCTATACTAGGACATCAGCACATATCACGACATATTTTCAGCCCAGATGGTATAACGTTACTTCAATAATATGGACATAAAATGTTGTGGCTCCCAAGGTGGTTTGATTTTTGTTGAAAGGACAAAATGGCTCTTCTTAACCTTTGGGTTGCGACCCCTGAATTACCAAAAGAAATAACTCCCCACAGTATTAAAAGGGTTAAAGAAAAGTCCAGAGTTTACATGAGTATAATGAGCGCTATGCTTGCTCACACCTATCAATCCTAGCAACACAACTTGGCATTTCAGTGACTCAGTGTGAGGAGAGTGGACACAGTGGTAACTGGACAGCTGATATCAAGATCACACACATGTAGCCAGCCAGGCTAATTCTGTCATGATGAGGCTCATTTATCTGCATGACTGGGTCTGAAAGCTAAGGTAAAATGTGGGTTAACAAAACAGGAGCTGCGGGATGTTTGAGGAATCTTGCTCTTGTTTGGAAAGGGGAAAATGGCTCAGAGTGATACTGCTCCTCCATTGTTTTGCATGACAAACCGATTTGGGCCGAGTCCAGCAGCACAAACACAGAGAAAGGCTTATCAGTCCACACTCTCTTTTCTGTCCTTTGCTCTATTGTGGCGAGACACAGTCCTGCTGGACAATAAAATGGAATTTACAGCAAGGAAGAATGGAGCTGTCAAAAGTAATGGTTGCTCAAATAGTATTTTATGCTATATTAGTCATACTAAATATCTTTGAAGGGCCCCGAAGAACCGAAACACGCTTTTGTTCAAAATGCATCAGCTCAGAAATGAACTTCTAATTAAATGTTCGAATTTTCTAATAGAGTTGGTCATATTTGCTCTCCTCTTATTTCTTCCCTGATCAACGTTTAGTGACAGCTGAGGTTATACAAATGCAAATGCACACATTTTTGCCAACAACATGGAACGTGTCCATGTCAACTGCTCATCAGCCGAACAGCGAGCTGCCTACAGCAGACATTACACCCACAGAAAGCATTACAACATTTATAGACACACAATCCGCAAATCACAGGGAGAAAAAAAAGCTGTTGACAACAATATTTTTCCAAAGAAGAACGTCTGAAGACGTGTGTCTTTGTCGAGTGTAACATGTGCTAAGACATCTGAACACATGCATACACAAGCACTATTTGGCCAAGAATATGGGACAGTGCAAGAGAGGTTTTCACCTCTGAATTATTCATCTATTAAGGAGTGAAAAAACAGAAACTCTCTTTTGCAGCGCTAAGCTAATGTTCTAGAACAGTGGTTCTCAACCTTTTTGAGCCACGGCCCCCCAAAAATGCACTCTGGGGTTTGACTTCCCCTAAAACATAGAACAGCAACCTTCTTTGCACTTCTACTTATTCTCTTTATTGCTGCTATGTTCCAGGTCAGGACTTCTCACCCACACAACCGTAGCTGAAATGCATTGCTGCCCATAAAAAAACAAACTAAATATCTATTGTAGATATAACCATAGTTTTAAAATGTGGCAGCATCTGACTGCTCTTTAGCAATTCAGTCATTCTGAATAAAGCAATATATCTATCTTTTGTACTTAGAACATACATACATGCTAAGACTATCATGCTGAAGTGGTGCACAATATTCACTGCCTTGTATTGGAGACAAAAGCTCATTCAAAGTTCATTATTAACATAGTGTTTATGTAGATATGTTGGTAACACTTTCTATGAATGTCACCTTTGTAAGCATTTATAAACACATTTATAACATGTTATAATGTATTCATAAGGCATTATAAACATGGTTATAAATATTTATAAAAAAGAATTACACTGAATTACACTTTATAGCCATGTTTATTATACATTATGAATTGTTAATATAATGCATTATAAGTAGTGTTGATAACATGTTTTACTGTCAGTGCCAAAGAAGTCAGTCCCAGCTTGGAGACTGCAAAGTAAAGACAAATACCAAGCTAACGGTGGTGTACATTACCTTTCCCACATTGGGTAAAACACTGATGGCAGCTCTAGTTTAAACTCTGACATTTGAAGCCTGTAATGTGCTTTATTATGTATGTTTTAGTGTTTCAGTAAATCCTTTAGTAATACTTCAACTTGAAGCCTCACTCTGAACACTGGAGGGGGCTTTAGTACAGTACGCTTCACTTTACTTAGAGCGGACAAATATGAGACTTATGAGCTCTTATAATTTGTTATGATCAGTACTTATAATGTATTATGTTAACAATTCATAATGCATAATAAACATGGCTATAATGTATAATGCATTTTTATAAATATTTATCGCTATGTTTATAATGTCTTATGAATGCATTATAACATGTTATGAATGTGTTTATAGATGCTTATAAAGGTGACATTCATAGAAAGTGTTACCGATATGTTTTTAAAATATTTTAGGAATGCATACATTTTAACATGTCTGTATAGACATCCATGGAAGTTCCATCTCAAACACTGCAAAAAAAAAAGCTCTATTAAAATCACGCTTGATGAATATCTGCTTCCACTTTAACTAAATTTAACATAAAATAAATACTTTTTAATTTTTACTAGCACACATATATACACATACATTAGCAACCACCCAGGACACCACAGTAATGGCCGGGCAACACATTAGCAACTACCTTAATAGCAATATCATTGGTGTGGGAAACTTAAGTGTTGCACCGATACTGGCACTCTATCAGTATCGGCGCCAATACTGGCACTTAAACGCAGTACGGGTATCGGTGATGGGGATACTGATATATATGAACGATACTACGAAGCAATTTCTGACGTGCCAGTAGACCTTAACAACACATCAGTGGTGTGGGACGACATGCAGCAGTAAAAATGCTAATGGCAGAATCTGTAACGGCAGCATTCGGTGAGAAAAACACACTAATGCTGCTTCTTTCATCATCATTCGTCTGCCACTGTGTGGTCACTTGCAGTCTGAGTTAATGTTCCTGAAAGAGCTGAAGGAACCACCGGACTCTGGGTAATGATAGCATTTAGCCTTGATTTAGCCTTTAACATAGCAGCCCACTAGCCGGACCCATGCGTCCACTAGCCCTGCCTACGGTGCGCCTCCATTGGTCAGCTGTATCACTCAGCAGCGGGGTCTCTCGGCCCGTCGCTTCAACCAAGCCAGAAAAAACACTGGAAGTCGCTGATACTGACAGCGTGAACGACGGTGATATTGACTGAACTGACGCTCAGAGATGCAGCACAAGCAAACAAGACGCACGTTTGAGACAAACGACTCGAGAAATTTGGATGTAAAACAACATTCAGCTCCGTTTCTGAGCCAGAGAAGCTGCTGTGTGCTGATGTGTAAACACCACAGGTTTATCTGTAAACTGTTCAGCTCTGGTTTTAAATGTTCTGCACAATAAAGATATTTTACATTTACATGGTTCTTATTTCTAATTATATAATAGTAAATACTAAATAGGTAAAGTAAATAAACAAAAATAAGTTTTCTTAAGCGTCTAATAAATATAATCCAACAAGTAAAAGCCATCTGGCCAGGCTGAGTGTGTTTAATTTGTGATGCAAAACAGAGATTTTACCAAAATAAAATATATAAAAACGTAACTATATAAATATTAGGACTTATATGTGAGTTAGGTTAGATAGTGAGTTAGTATTGGTATCGGTACTCAGTATCGCCCAGGTATCGGTATCAGAAGGGAAAAAGTGGTATCGGTGCATCTCTAGGAAATACTGTGAAACACCGTTCTCAGAAATGTGTACACCCACACAGAGGTGAGCAATATGATGAAATGACATCATTATCCCAATAAATGACATTATATTATGTAATATGATTACATAATTATATTTTTGCCACAGGTACCCAAACTTGTGCTTGTTTTGTTGACAAACATCCTGCAACCCCTTCAAAATGATCAGGCTGAAAAATTAGTATTAGTAGAGTGATGCTCACGCTGTATGTCGATGGTGACGGTGGCCTCTTTGCCGTTGGGAGCTGCTTTGTTGGAGGCACGGCAGGTGATGCGCTGACCGCTCTCGATGTTGGATGGTGAGATGTAAAGCGTGCTGACCGTACTCTCCCTCTGGCCATCCCGCAACAGGGTCTGTGAGACAGAGAAAGCAATAAGCAAGGCTGAGGAGGGGGTCTACCCATCGGGCTGGACACCGCAGGCAGCCTGACCTTAAGCTGTGAGAGGAGAAAAGAAGTTGTTGGAAACGCTGCGGCGCGGAGGTTAGACTGCCTTTGATCCTCAAATCCCTCACCCTTGCCCGAGCACAGATCACACACCTACTGTATGGAGCATCTTGTCAAATCGGGCGAATGGAATCAATCTCCCTCTGTCAGCTGGCTTCCGGAGCAGCGCTGGACAGCATGCCAACAACAAACTGATGGAGAGAACATCAACACAGTGCTTTTCCCTCTAAAAAACACCTGCTTTTCAGCACCGCAGGCTCGGTCACTCACACACATCCATGCATGTGGATTGTTTTGACTGACCTTGGTTTTGAGCAGAACAGCAGGCTGAATCCAACCTGAATAACAAAACAAATTGGTATCATTTTTTACCATTTCCTTTGAATTTATGACCTGACTGATGTATCAGTTGGCTGATGATACTGAGTTCATACGGAGTTATCATATCGGCAAAAACTGAGCTGACAAGACACCAATAACTAGTGACTTGTACAAATGGTGGCTGGTATTGTCATTTAAGAAATATTAGCAGAAAATGCTGAACTGGATATTGGAAGGAAATTAAATTCTATGGCTGCTGTGAAAGGAAGTTAAAGCATAGCAGTTTTTAATGAAAAAATAATGTACTGGTAACAGAATAGGCCGATTCTCAAGGTTTCATTATGAAAAAAGAAAAAGTGGTGTTGTGCCATCCTTTGACTTGTCTTATACTGTAACAAAGAGTCTCGTCTGTAGTGTGAAAAGCAGTTCACTACTGAGGATTTGGCAGTTTATGCCAATATGCCATATGTCTTCTAAATACTGCTAAGCTTACAGTGACCACCTGCTCACTACTATAATACAATACAGGCTAGAGATGGCACCATATCACTTTATCTTTGGTGAACACTGACTAATACTGATGCCAATCCCATGAATTTCCCTTAGAAACTATGGTAACACTTTACTCAAGGGCCGCATTCATGACATGACAACTGACCTAAACCTACATAAACTTTCATGAAGGCTTCCAAGTGTCAGGTCACATTTTAATGTCATTTCACCTCAGTAAGAATTACCACAACTTGTTGGAATAAGCATTTAGTAACGTTTGTACAGGTTTATGTCATTCTTCATGGAAGGCTTTGGTGTAGGTGTCATGTAGCCCTACAAACGCTGCCATTCAGTGAAGGGTTACCGAAAACTAAACTTTAAAGTGAGACACTTTTTATCGAAGCACTTCAACCAAGCTGATCCACATGAAGTATGACACAGCTAACCCTACAGGAAGTACGAAACAGCTGGATACCATTCATTAGCATTCATTCATTTTTTCCCTCCCTTATTTCATCCTGCATTTTTTCCTGTTATCTGCCCAAACACTGATATCTATAGATACCAATACACCACTAAAGGATGTGTTGTTGTTGCACTCAAAGCTTCCAGTCTAATTTTTGCCACTTGCAGGCACAACATACATACATACATACATACATACGTTTTTCACTCGGGTTCCACTTTGCTGCCTTTCAGTATAAAACAGGCTTGCATGACATGAGTGATAAAGTTTAGCTAAGATAGCTAAGATACTGTGGGGTCCACCATGGGCTGTGCTGCCATGGGGAGGTTAGGGTCAGTGGCCACGTCAAGTGGCTCCCGTTAGGTGCCATGATCCTGGCTAAAACTGAGTGGTGTGTCAGTTGTTGTTTGTGTATACTAGTGTTGCTTGCTAAATCGTGTCCGTGGAGAGGAGGCCTTTATGTGTGATGTTGTCCACCCTCTACTTGTTTCATGTTCTCCTGCGTTACCTCTTGCCCAGGTGTGTGCAGGGGTAGTGCTGGGCTGAGGAGTTCTCTCTTGCTGCTGTTCAGAATAAAAGAGCATTCGCCTATATGCACTGTTGTCCATATTAACAAAGAATTAAAACAATATTCAAAGTTTTGCATTCATGCCATCTCCATATTATGTCTGTAACAGCTGTTTATTGATCCTAGAACAACTATTAAACATGCAAATTTTTTCTATGTAAGAATGTAATATACATACTGTTCCTTACAACATGTTGTATGTTGAAGAATTGCAACTGAGACTTAAGTCATAAGTAAAAATCATGATTCCCATTTAATCAAGAATCCTGCAGCTCCAATCAGTACTCACAAACTTTTCACACAGATTGGGCCTGTGGTAGAAATTCTGTTAAAAATAAAGATGTCAATTCCGAGCTTGCCTCTACAGGTTTAGGCATCACCCCAAGGCCCATCAGGAAGAGGGAGAGTTTTTATACACCATGACAGACAATATGTATTTCCATAAATGGTTACAAGAAGGGATGCATTAATACCATTTTGTTCAGAGTATGAGTACACATTTTTTAGTACTCGCCAATACAGAGTCTGTCACCGTACTGAATTACCTACTTAAAATTAAGTACATTTACAGTTAAATCATTCAAATGTAGCTGGATTTAAACAATGTACATTAACTGGCTATGCTACATTAGTTGCCTTGGACCGAGAGCACTGCAGTGGAGAAGAGCTGGTTTTGTTCCCCATCAGAAAAGCGCTTCTGTAAAGATCTATTTAAAGTACATTTCATAGTTTTGATCCTCATCTGTCTCTTTCAGCAACAGTGACAGGAATCACATCCAAGGCTAAAGGATCTGAAGAGCTCACTTGTGGAGTTTTCTGTTTGGCTGGCTGAGCTGTAGTTTAATGTCAGGATGCTGATAAAAATAACATTTACTCAACCTAGTAACATTTATTCTATTGATCACTAACTAAATTACCACAGGCTCTTTTTGATACAGTATACAAAGAAGCATGTTTTTTATTGCATCAGTTTTAAAATGAAAACATCAAAGTATAATAAAAAGGACTTGCCAACGTTAACAAATGAACCATGATTTTAATCACCATTCATTCTTATTAAAAGGAGTGCAGGGAGATGCTATCGTTTTCATATTAAGGCGGCTGCTGAACCATCTCATTTCTAGCGAAGTTGCCTACGCCGGAACACTATTGTTCGAGCTCTCTTGGTGACCCTTTTCTATGCCAAAAGAAGATAAAAACACTAGAGTCGATACTTGAAGGATATTGACTTCATCTATAACGGCCTGCTTCCTCTAAGCTGTATCAGATTCTCTCCCAGATTTAATCAAATCAGGCAATAAAGAGTGGCTGGAAAAAGAAGCTTCCGCCCTCAAGGAAAAGGAGACACTGCCATGAAGCCCTCCAAATTCAAATGAACTGTTTTTTTTATCTTCTTCCCTGATTTAACAGGACAACTGTATCATGATGAGCAAAGTCCTCAAATCATAAAACATTTATAAACACTCAATAATGAATTACGGTTTTGAGTTAAAAAAAGGAGGAAAACGCAGGTTCCAAACCTAAGTGTCTTCATTTCCTCATCAAAAGCTCCGGTTTGCTGTTTAAAAGAGGAATCTCTTTCATCATTCATCCAATGGGCGCTTATTTGATTTACAAGACACTGCCCAAACCATCGTTCAGGCTAATTGCTTTGCCAGTCGTTTCCTCCTCATTAAGGTGCTCCATCATTTTGGAAACGTTTTGAAAGTAGCTCACTCTCGCCCGCTGATTGGATTGGAAAGTAATCTTTCCGTTAAAGGAAGCGAACCTGTGGCGAGTTTGCTTGTGTGTAAATTAGGGCTGGGTAATTAATAAGCAGGCTCTCTCTCTCTCTGGTGGGCTTCTGAAGGGAAAGGCTCACCAAGAATGCTCAGATTACACCCCACCCCCCATCATCAGGGGAGCGCTCCTTCCAGCACGGCCCAGTGCTTGTCTCAGTTTCCTACCCACAGCTGACAAAGTGAGCAAATTGCCCAAGAACACATCCATAATTGAGAGCTCTGGAACGTCTTCCTTTTTTGTCATATTTAAAGCGCAGCGTTCGAGCTCCAGCTTGCCCCGAGGATTAAATTAAAAATTACTTCTCACTTGTCATTAAATTGACAGAGCCAACCTTTTTGAGGACATGCAGGCGTGCAGAGACGGAGGCTTCATGAAATAGTAATGCTTCTCTGCAACGAGAGTGTACATCCTATATTTACGTATATGTAGGCGGGCGGCCAGAGTGATCTGACGTGATTTTTAGGAAACAGAGGCTTTTCTCATTATAGAAAAAATGTAATTATAACACAATAAATTATTAGCACAACCATTTTTTTTTAATGCCATTAACACATTTTACTAGTCTGACCCTTCGAACCATCCGTAGTACTGCAGGCTGAAACCCAGCTGAAGTGGCTATCATTATAAAAGCTATTTAAAAGCTATATCTGGGCTCCCAACTGGCCTCGCTCTCTCTGGGTGGGTAGGATGGCCCCATTACTTTGGGTGTCTGTTAGCTGACGCACCAGATCTGGCGGTTGGTGCTTTCCTCCAAGCGCGTTTAGCTGTCCAATGACGTTGCAAGAGCGGCAGTTTGAAAAGATGCGGTGGTGCTTCACTGTGTTAGCCTTCGCCCTCCTAGCCCTGGTGGTATTGTGTGATTGGGGGGGATCCGAACTAGTGGGTTGAATAGGATATAAGTAAATTAGGGAGAAAATTGGGAGAAAATAAAAGTAAAAAAAACAACTATATCTGAACAAGAGCTACAATCCGAGACTCCATCTACTATTTTGATCTAATGTTTAAAGAACACTTTAAAAATGTTTATCATTTCAAATCATTATCCTATAAGGCTACATGTTAAGACGTAATGTTTTAACTGCATCAGAGGATGTGTTGAGGATGTTGTCAGGGCCACAGATTATGTTACATGATGTTTTTAGAGAACGTTTCCAGGACAACATTTGAGGAACAAAAAAAAAAAAATCCTGCTAAAAACATTATTAGAACGTGTGCGTAACATTCTCTGCATGTTTTTAGAACAATACATTTCTAGCTGCGATCAAAACAACACATAGCATGTGTATCAAGTTCATTAAAAAATGTTATGGTGTTAATATTTTATCATGCAAATAAAACCACTAATACACACATATATGTATATATGTATATACAAATGCATACACATACACTTTTTTATTAATTTTCCATTTAAAACAGCCATTAAGTTCAAGTTTTGAATTGTTTAGCTTTGTCCTTTTCTCAGCAAGGGCTTCTTGACGTCTGCACACCCCTTCTGACCCACAGCATTGAAGTGCTTTCTCAAAGTGGAAGAATGGACAGAAACATGGACAGAATTTTTAGTAACTTGCACTTTTGACTAAATAAAACTCTGACTTTTGCACAGTACTGTACCTTAATGTAACAAGATTTTATTTCATTTTGGGCCACTTCTATTGGTCCATTTATCCTGAAAAGTTCACACTGTGTGAAGTCCAGCTGGTATATTTAAATGGTATAAAGAAATAAAAAACGTGTGTTGAGAAGCACATTTATTCTTTTATATACACTGACCCACTGACCACTGAGAGAAATGGGTTAATATGTGAGCCTTTTTCAAGGCTCTGAATGGTGCAAAGGCCAGCGACCAGCAAGATATTCTTTCGCCTCCTCCCTTTTCTCAAGCACGTGGATTTGAATGCAGAAGGGGATGAAAGTACCTTTGAGTACATGGCTCCGTTGAGGACTTCTCCGTTGCGGATCCAGATAATGGAGGCGGCCGGTTTGGCGTTGTCTGCATGGCAGGTCAGGTTCAGTGGATCGCCCGCCCTCAGACTCACTACGGGGGCTCCGATGATCACTGGGTCATCAGGGGGAACTGGAGGATAAAATAATTTTCTATGTATTAGATCATCCTTCAGACAATGAAGTGAATTTCAGACGGTCCAGCAGAGAAGACACCCTGCGCAGTGTGGGCAGAGGTCCATTATCTCATGTAAAAAAGAAAAGGAAAAAGTCAGCCAGAGAGAGAGAGAGAGAGCGAGAGCGAGAGTGAGAGAGATGGAGGGATGAGCAGGGAAAAAGGGCAAAATGTAGGTTCCTGAATAGCACTGATTGCAGCCCCTCTCTTTAAGCAGCTCTGATCACCCTGGTTTCCATTCAAACTCGGGTGAATTATTGATTGAGCACTCAGCTCATTAGAGAGCATATCTAGGGCAAGCCTAAATCAAAGGCAACAAGCAGCTGGCACATCCTGACTAGTCAAGAGAGACAGAAAAGGGAGTTGGGGGGGAGCAAAGGGAATGAGGGGGGCAGTGATAGAGCCAGTGGGGAGAGGAGGAGATGAACAGGGATAAGAGACAGTTCCAGAGACGCTGGCTTCATGAGGAGCTGGACTAAGCCCCCTCCACATTCACCCCCCCACTTCTGGGGGATTACTCATTAGGCCTCGGCTGCTTTCTCAGCTATTTTCACCAAATCAAGCCCAAAGAACAATTAAGGCTTGGGAGTTAGACGGCAGTTGGAGCCACTTTCCTTTATTTCAGATGTAAACGTTAGCAAGTTGTTGAGGGAAGAAAACAGAAACACTGATGTGCTTCGCTCACCGATGCAGCTGCTGTTGCTATTTTGGGCAAATTTTGTGGAACACTGATAAAATGTCATAATGAGACATTGTAGAAATTAATAAAATATGTACACAAATTATATTTACTTTACACACAGGAAGGTCACACTGTTAGAACAGAAAGGGATTCATTTTCTTTGTTTCACAGAGTAGTGAACGATAGCAGGGTGACAAATTTGTCGTTCCCAACCTGCCGACGTTGGATTAGCTACAGCAACACAGGTCAGCTCGGTAGTGCAGCAACCTGGAAACTCAGGGCCTGATGGACTGAGCCTTTCGCACCAGTTTCAGGCACCAATCGGACACATTCTGCCCACATTTAAACTAGCGCACCCGCTTAATACAGTTTATTATGCAAAAATGCAGAAAACAGCTGACATTATTAATACTTAAGGAACTCATGGCGGAATTTTTTCTTCGATTTTCTTTCGCCTTTAAAACCAGGTGTAAATTGCGTTCTCAATAGATGTCTTGTTGAGAGACTAGCTTTAACAATGGCAGCATACACAGCAGGTAGAGGGTGGCATGAGCCTTGAACACACTGAAAGAATGTTTACCATAAAATAAACACCATTTAAACTCTCTGGACCGTACGAGAGAAGACACGGCGCAGTCCGAGTTATTGTGTCACAAACTCTGTTTTCTTTGCAGGAGGAAAATATCACCCCATAGAATAATGTGGTGGGAAAGAACTTGGGCTTGCTGACTAGCAGAAACTGGGTGGAGCTGTGTCCAGTTTACGCAGTCTTAGTTAAACAAACGTTAAATTCAGGTGCATCGTTGTCACATTGTGCAGTCCTAAGTCGCATTTTGTTCTTTGATTGGGTCTCAAATAGGGCTGAGTGAGGCCTCGTCCAGTACAGGTTGTCCAAGCTACCGCTGCTATAAAAGAAAGCATTTATGAGCAGAGCATGGCCTGGTCAACTGGCATTTTTCCTTTTTCTCTTTTCTTTGCCTCACCTTGTATATCTGTCTACTTTTTTTTATTTATTCTTCACTGACCAAATACTGCCTCACATTCAACCAAGGCATTCTGGTGAAGTGTTTTGAGCTTCAAGACAAAATAACTAAGCAACTAACAAAATCAAACTGCCACTAAACGCACTGCTGTAGATGCACTCAGCACACATTTCAGCACTGCAAGAGGCTCCATGCAGGTATGTAGACATCTATGAGAAACCAAGTGGACCAATCTCAGACAGGGGAAGGTCTCAGAGCAAATGATGCGATAATTAGTTCTACTCAGCAAGTGGCAAATCAGACCATGATGGCATGAGATGGGTGTAGGTGGAGGATAAAAGGGGTTGTATAATATGTTTGTCATCATTTTATATGTTTTCCCTAAAAAACTTTAAAATTTCATTACAAAAAAAGTAAAAGACGAACTAAAATCTATGAGCTTGTTCCTTCACCATGCTTTTTACTGTATATGCATAGAACATCTAAACTTTGCATGTTTAAATGCAAACACAATTTGCTTATAGTTTGCACAAACATGACCAAAAACTAAATTAAATTACGAAACTACTAATAAGTTAAATTACAATTTTTTTGTCAACATCAGTATTTCAGCATTTAGACAATCCAAAAAAGTCCTCAAAATCTTTAAAAACCAAAATATGAATAGTCAGAATTGTTAAAAAAAAATGTTAGTTTTATTTAAAAAAAAAAAACAACATTTTTATTGAATGTTTATGTTTTTTTTTTTAACTTTTAGTTGCTGTCCTATCCGTCAACGTCACAGTTCGGTGTGCTATTGCAGAAAATATTTCAAGATCAGTTCACTTCACAGTAAGATGATAAACTGTGCATTTTACTGTGAATAAAAAGTGTTAAATATTGTAAAATCCTGGCAATAATTTACAGTGTACCTTTTCCCAGAGACGTGTTTGTCTTTTCCTATTTTATGAGTATGTGCTTGTTTGTTTGGTGTAATATGTTTGCTATCCTTGCTCAGTCTGCATTTTCTCTTTCTGTACTGAATATTGTAATCATTTACTTTTAAACCCCAATAAATACAAGGCTGAAAACACAGAGGTTATTTATAGACACTGTGTCCGTATTGACCACCCTCTAGTTTGTGCATGTCAGCTGGCAGGAACAGTAAAACTTTGAGGAGAGCGGCTGAGGACTTCATTCACAGTGTTGACCTCGGCTCATATCTCTCAGCAGCCTGTCAGGCTTTTTGAGGCCCGGCCTTGTACCATGTGCTCATCTGTGAGGGAAGCGATGGCTGATTTATTACTCAGGATTACCTCACTGGTACCAATCAAGCCCCCCCCCCCTCCTCCCAGCTCGAGAACCCGTACGGCTCTGAAAGTGAATGAATAGCTCTCCGCTCGGCCACCATAAATTTGATGCCGTCCGCGATCTTTCTGTCAGGGTGCTTTTTGGAGAGGAAGAGGGATGGAGAGCAGAAAGCGAAGAGGCAAACTCGCGAAGTTGTCGCTGTTCTGAAATTCAACTTAACTCTAGATGTTGAAGGTATTATTGTTCTATTGTTATGTCATTCAACATAACTGCATATTTGATTACATATTGTTTTACATTCTGTATCAACAACTTCAAGTCTGCACTTCTCTACTTTTCCTTTTTCTGTTTGTTTTGATGTCAAGCAATGATGAAAACATGGCAAAAATGTAGTTCTGTTTTGGCAAAACAAGACTCAACACAACTTTTCATCATATTTAAACTGGGATAAAATATCTCATCTTCTATTTACAAACATGGATTTGAAAGCTTTGATCAAAAGTTTAGCATCTCAGCTTTCACCAAAATTTCACCCCTCCAATGAGCTTCGAGTGAGGAATGATTCACATCATTTAATTTGGGACGATGGGCATAACTCAGTTGTTCAGATGTAAACAAAGACATGAGTGGTTTGATATGAAGCTGTAGAGACTCTCCATAGATTTCTTTACAGTGGTGGTGATAGGAACCAGACGTCATGATGTCTACAACACAAATATAGCCATTTTATTTACTATCCAAAACCACCTACACATCTTCTGAGTGGTAAAATAATGATGGTAAAATAATGCAAAATCTGAAACACATATTTTGAAGCTCTCTGCCATTAATAGGTTAAAAAAAGGCCAAAGCCTTCCCAAAATTAGAGTCATTTTAGAGGCATTACTCTCTTCGGATGTCTGGTTCCTATCACCATCAGACCTTAAAAACTCAAGCCACCACACCATTTTGTCCAAAAAGACATCGTTTCGCTTTGAAATGCTGTTTTTGTTTGAGATCTACTGCCCACTTTAGTCTTACATTGTTAAAAATTTCACAAAACAACTGCAGTAAACTACTGGCTACTAGTTGCATTAGCGTCACAGTAATTTACTAAACCATATTAACAGTAAATAACAGTAAAATTGCGACTGTATACTGTGAATCCACCGTATACTGACATAGCTGCAAAAACACGTTTTCTTTGGGGGCTAATTTGAATTACAACACCCCATGAGAACCTCTCTGCCGTTAATGGCTTAAAATTAACTTTCAGGCCAAAGCCCTCTCAAAATTAGAGGCATATTAGAGGCATTAATCTCTTCAGACGTCTGGTTCCTATCACCTCCACAGTCCACAATTAAGATTCTTTAAAACAGAGGCTTTCACACCAAACCACTCCGAATGACTTCGTTGACATCTTAATGATTTAATCACGGACACATCTTGGAGAATCCATGGAAATCCCCTTTCAAAGTAAAACAAAGAAATGAAACAATGCCTGTCCACTTGTCAACTAAAGTGACCACTACTGACTCCAAAAACGGATATTATTCGTCAGGTTATGGCAACATATCTTCACAAAATGGTGACCCAAGACAGCTCTCCCCTTCTCGAACTCTCCTCTCGAACGCTTGACAGCACCTTAATCAACTTACCCATCATCATTACGGGCATGTTTGCAAATATGCCTCAGTGTAATGGCTCCAAATTGACGATTTAACACGGCCAGTCAATAGATCTGTCTCGAGCAGGTCAACGGACTAAATTAATCGCCCCCGATTTAATTGCCGTTCGAAGCGGCAGCAGAAACACTCCAGCGCTCCCTAACTGAAACCTGGCTCCTTGTCGCCGAATTACTTTTCTCTCTGCCCTCTTGATACATGGGGCCCCTGGGACGTCTCTCCGAGTCGTTCCGTCTGTGGAGGTGTGGGGAAAAGGGGGGGGAGGAAGGAGAAAAATGGAGCAATTTCATTTTGGAAAACAGAGAGAAAGGGGCGCTTGGGGAAATGTGACCTATTTTC